GTAAGTAACGAGTAATAACCAACGAGTAGATCTGTTGACATATGTATATAAAAGCAAGCAGGTAGTTTAAGTACTTACAGTACACCCGAACAGCGTGTGCAGACAAACGAGCCGATGGTCATGTTCACGTAGGTGGGCCCCTTCTGGTTGCAATCGAAGCACTGGCGATTGCCTGCGCCGCTGTTTACCAGCTCCCGCAGCGCTAGCAGGTATTTGTCGTCCTGTTTTTTGCGCACTGCCATATTGCTATTGCTATTGCTATTGTCGTTGTTGTTGTTGCTGCTGCCGCTGTTGTTGTTGTTGTCGTCGTTTGCTTTGTTTCCTGCTTCCGTCTGCTCGCTGTCCTCCAGCCACTCGGTGTCCGAATCGTAGGCGTTGCTGCCGTTATACCGTGTATGAGGCTGATAGATGTCAGCCGCGTGTGGGACACTGCTGTTGTAAACGTAGACGAACTGAATTTTGCCTGATTTACAGCTAACACGATCAAGTTCCAAACTTCGGTTACACGGGTGCGTGTGCGTGTGTGTGTGCGTGTTTGCGATTATGTGTGTCTGTCCGTGTGTGCGTGTTTGTGCAACCGCTTTACGCAACGCAACGCTTGACCTTTCTTCAGCTGCAAATCACAAAGAAGAACAACAACAAACGCCGCTGACACCGCCGCCACACATATACCAAAAATATATATAAATGTGTAAATGTGATGGTGTTTGTGTTTCTGTGTGTGTCTGTATGTGTGTTATAATTTATCAGACAGCAAGCAAAAATATTTTCTCGTTTATTTATTATTGTTTACGTTTAATTTTTACACTGCACTCTTTGCTCTCTCACATACACGAGAAAACCCAACAACACTGGTTTTCGTTTTGGCTTCTTTTTACATTAATTGAATTTATTTACACACTTTTGCAGCGCACTCTGCCCGCTGCTGCTGCGCTCAATTGCCCCACACACACTGAATCACACACGCTGCGCCTTGTCTTCGTTATTGTAGTTGTTGTTGTTATTAACAGAATTAAGCACAAACACAAATTCTCTTTTAATAACAAACTGCTAGAGACGCCCGTCCGACAATTCACGACACGACTGAACGTCGCAAACTTGAAAAATGAACTGACTATGCTAGTGTGGCCGTAGTTGGGTTAACCAGCAAATGCTGCTAGACTGACCAGGCGCCGAAAATACCAGAAATCAAGTTGGCAGCGCCACAATTCAAATTTCTATTCACAATTTCAATTTTGAAAATGTGTGTAAACAGTTCGGCCAACTTATCATATAGCTTCCATAAGAACAATTGATTATTATATGAAAATTAATCCTGGTCTAAAATGATTTAATTAGCTAAATGCTACAGGTACCACATTTACTCCTCCAAAGGCTTGCGCGCATTGCCTTTATTAGCAAATTTGCGTTTCTTAAATGTGGCGGGTGCACTGCTGGCCGTCTCCTCATCCAGACCCGATATTGTTTTCTCCTTGAAACGCTTTACAGGTGGTTCCGTCTCCGTCACAGCGGTAACAACAGGTGCTGCATCATAATAATCCATTTTGGGCAACTGCCAATCAATGGGCTCGGCTGGTGGTCTGCAAAGTAGTTATATGATTAATAATTATAGCATCTGGAAGAATTCTTTGAGCTTACCTGGTTTCGACCACCTGCCATTGGCCAATCTCCTTGGTGGCTGCCTCCTCTTCCGTTTTAAACTCAAGCCGTTTCTCTTCCTTTAGCTTCTTCTCCTTGGCATTCTCGGGATTGCGATAAAGTTTTGCGTGTCGCTCGCGATTAAAACGCGCCACCTCCTCGTCCGCATTGGCACGAAAGCGTAGCGATTCCTCTGCCTGTGTAAGCTGCTGTTGATCTATGGCCAACTGATTGATACGTTCGTATTCCTCATAGGAGAGAAAACCCTCCTTGGGGGGTTTCCAGACAGATTCATTTGTTTTCACATTCCAGTAATATGTATGGCCCTCATCCGACTTGCCCTCCACCCACAGTGATGCGTCTGGCACCGTCTCGGCGGCAACTTTATCCACATTTACCCGACGCTGATCCTCCGCATCCTCGTCGGAATCGCCCTCCAAACGCATTGGATCGATTTGGCGCGGTTTGCCGTATGGCCCTAGCTTCGCACTGCTGGAAGTTGTTGCGCTGAGTACCGTATTGATGGAACGGGCTGTCATGTCGCCGTGATAGCCGTGTATATCCTGCGCGTAGGACTTCATCGCCGCATCCTCCATTTTACGGATCTCTGCGTCCATCTTTTGCTTCTCCCGCTCCGACTTTTCGCTGTTGCGACTGATTTCTGTGATGCGTTTGGACACATTTAGCTTGTGTCGCTTGCCACTCTCGTGAAATGCAATACTCTGCAGTAGTTAAATAATTGTAATAAACAATTCTTTAATTTGTTCAAAATATTTACTCACGGCTTTGTTGTCGCTCAACCAGCATTTGCAGAAGTCGCAATACTTGCGTTCATTCGACTTCCAGTACTCCGTCCTGCAAGACGCAAATTTATTAATAATATTACTTACAATCAGTTATAAATAATACAATTTGTCTACTTACATTTTTATAGAATATTGTTTACACTTTGTTTCCTAAAATTTGTTTTGCCTGAGAAGTGTTGTAAAACGTGAACAGAGCAGCTGTGAAATGTGCTCCGATTCTTGAGTAGCAGTTCGTTTAACAAGGCAAATAACGACAAAAATATTCGTAATTAAAGTCAATACCTCGTTTTTTCAGTTGTGCGTACATAAAATTATAAAAAGTTGTAAAGTGATTGGCCGAAAATTCTGTCAGCGTCTAAACTGTTAACGTAATTGCGACTTGTGAATTGCCACATTTACTCAATATGGTTCTGTTATTACTATGTTAGCAGTTATTAGACCGCGAGCCAGCTATGTTAAATTTAAAAAACAGTCTTCTAGACAAAGTAATTTCACTCCAAATTACTAAACTACTTATTTATTAAAACTGTTACACAATTTCAACTCGAACTTCATTTAAACAGACAAACAAAATTTTAAAAAGTGCCAAAAATTTTCCAGCATTTGTATTGTCCAGGTACTGCTAATAACAGTTCGCAAAAATGTTAAGTTAACATTTATATTGTTGTTTAGAAAGACGCTCTGGCTGTGCCGAATAGTAGCAAAATTTCATTGTTTACGAGCGCTTGCTGTCCGCTCCGAGACGTCCGTCCCCAGACATGGCACAGGCCCGAGTCGCAACAACAACTTCTTTGAATGACACAATGACGGCCAAGACAAGTGAGAGAATTGGGCAATTGCGACCTCTGGTCCAAAGTTTGGTCCAACCTGCCAGACATACCGATTTCACCAGCGTGATAAAAAAGAAAAAAACAGCTGTTGATTTAAGCTAATCCAAAATATATACGTTTTTGTTGCTGCTGGTCGCTCATACGAAACTTTCGTTTGGCATTTTCAGATGGTGTATCTATGCCGATGTTGGGTGACAACAGCTGGGACGAGTTTACCATAGATGTGCCCTGGGGCATCGTTGCAGGTAAGCGAGCCGTCATAGCTCCAGCTCTGGCGGTCTGCTGAGTCATCCTCACTCAGCTTATCTAAGCTCACGAATCACAGCCGCACGTTCCCAATGGCTGCGATTACGCTAATTAAATAGCGCGACGCCAACAACAAATTGAAGAGCAACAAGAGTGCTCCAGACGAGCGCACCTTGGCCCGAACAATGTTGCCAATTATCGATTCCAAAGAAATAGCTGAATCCCAAAAACGTAATGCAGCGTAATTCAGCTGGAAAATAGCTGAATTGGCAACATTGCTTCTTTTTCTATACATGCAGACACATATCCACACGCATACACAGTCAAGTCATGACGTTCTCTCTTCCAGGTAAATGGTGGGGCTCTCGCAACACGCAACCGATTCTGGCGCTTCATGGCTGGCAGGACAATTGCGGTTCATTCGACAGGCTGTGCCCGTTGCTGCCGGCGGACTGCTCAGTGCTGGCCATTGATCTGCCCGGCCATGGCCACTCCTCGCACTATCCGCAGGGCATGCACTACTTTATATTCTGGGACGGCATTTGCTTGATTCGCCGCATTGTGCGCAAGTACAACTGGAAGAATGTCACTCTGTTGGGGCACTCGCTGGGCGGCGCACTCACCTTCATGTATGCGGCCAGCTTTCCCGATGAGGTGGCCAAGCTGATCAACATAGACATCGCTGGACCAACGGTGCGTGGCGTCAAGCGCATGGCAGAGGGCACCGGCAAGGCGCTGGACAAGTTTCTCGACTATGAAACTCTGCCGGAGAGTAAACAACCCTGCTACTCGTATGAGGAGATGATCAAGCTGGTGCTGGATGCCTACGATGGTTCCGTGGACGAAGAATCTGTAAAGATTTTGATGAAGCGCGGCATGCGGCCCAATCACAGCGGATTTCTCTTCTCGCGAGATCTGCGGCTCAAAGTCAGCTTGCTGGGTCTATTCACGGCGGAACAAACCCTGGCGTATGCGCGCCAAATACGTTGCAAGGTGCTTAACATTCGTGGTGTTCCCGGCATGAAGTTCGAAATGTCCGAATTTTATGGCGAGGTTATTGCAACGCTTAAGGAAAACGCCGAGCATGTGGTTTACCTGGAAGTGCCCGGCACGCATCATCTGCACCTGGTGACGCCCGAGCGTGTGGCGCCGCATATCACTCAATTTCTTTTAAATAAGTAGATAATGATCAAAATCCCGTTTGGCTCAGCTGCAATTTTAACATTCGCTGTAGCATATCTTAAAAAGGTCCGGGGTTTTTTTTGTTATTGTTGCGCAATGTGTTAATCGTACAGTGTGAGCTGACGGGCCTTAATTAAGTAGGAGGCTTGATACTGTAGATACATAATTATATTTTTTATGATTTGACCAGTATTACAAAATTTAACCGCTTGTTTGGGTAAATGGAATACATATTGGTTTTCGACAGTTGGGCAACACTGGCAGCTCCGTTGCTTAGCAACATTTTGTTTTGGCGTCATTTTTAATTGACTGCAATATTGCACTATTTTTATGTGTCTGATCAGGCATCACGCGTTGTTATAAAATGGACTTGATAAAGGAAATTAACGAGAAGTATCAAGCATTGGAGGCGGAAATTGATAAGAAACTGGAAAAGGTGTAAGTAAAGTGCGCTTATATTTTGTAAGGTTGTGTGCCGCGAAGCAATTGGCCAGTGTGTCTCTACTGCTTACATGCATTATTAATATTGTAACATACGTTGCGGCAATTTATAAAATAAAAGTTTTGTATTGGCAAAAAGTGTTTATTATAAAATTGTATGTAAAACTGTTTAAAACTTAAGCCATTTTCTTGATTTGGAGCTTAGCTTATATCTTTTATTTTAATTTAATAAAAAAATTATATGTAAGTCAATAGCCCGCCTTAAACTGCATTACACTACACTTTTTTGCCGACAGATGTCGCTTTCTATTGAGCGCCGTAACGGACTTTTGAAACTAAAAATGCTTGTGTTTATTATAGTCAAGCCGAGGAACAAAAATTAGAGCGTCAAAATGAAAAGCTGGCAGAGAAATCAACAGCTGCGCAGTCGCCCAAAATATTATCCTATGAGGAGGCGCTACAAAGGAACGCGAACACCCTAAAGGTAAGTATATTTCTAGTAAATAAAATCGCTTCTAATCGATTGTATTTTCTCTACAGTCATTGGAAATAGCAAAGGCACGCCTACGCTCACGAACTACATATTCACCAGTGGAACAACTGTTACAGCGTGCACTGGAGAACTATAAAAACGAATTGGAGATCCTTAATAAGAAACTTCCCACCGAACAGACACAAACTAAAAAGAAACGGGAGCTTTCTGGTCAGGCAACAGCAGAGAAGGAAGACTCGCAGGAGGAGGCAAGGCTATACGATCTGATCATGCATAATGTGCTGGAGGCTAGCAACAAGAGCAACCAGGCAAACGGCGAAAGTCGCCGCAATTGACAATTTCTGCACAGTATTTTTTTTATTTAATTATTTTTTGTGGAATTCTACGTTATGTACTTTAGCTAGTCAAGACAAGACGTGTTTCTACAGCCACTGAAAAAAGTTCAATTTGCAAGCTGAATAAATAGCCGCCAAGTGTACACACATGACCAAACGAGAGTTGTATGCTTTTCCCCATAGTAAACAAGAACCCAAAACGAATAAACACAACCCAACCAGCCGCTGTATCCAATGACGAAAACCCACCAGCCGCACAAGATCTAACCGAAAGCTAGCAATCCTGTCGCACCAATTTACTAAGTGTTTGGAACATGTTGCCGACGTTATCGCAAAGTATCTCAGCGACAGGTCGACAGAAGACAAACACATTACCAAAATTGTTGTCTCAATTAGTTGGCAATTATGTAGTTCTGGATCTGCTGCATGACCCACTGCTATCGATCCTCAAGATCGAACAGACAGCTGGACAGCCAGACAGCCGGACAGCTCCATGGCAATCATTGTTAGTAATAAATCAATTAATGACACCACGGCTCGTGCAAACATCAAAGACGAAAATTATGAGAGGTTTTTCTCGACACACAACATGACATGTTCGTTGATAAAGCCACTGAAACGCTTTTGTAGATCGACAGTGAGAGAGGGAGGGAAGGGAAGGGGAGGGGAGGGTCCAAGGGAGGGCCCCGACTATCACCAATGCAAACGTGTCTCGAAGAGTGCCTTGACGCAGACGTATGTATGTCGAGCAAATAGCAAACAACATTTCAGTTAAAGTCATTTGTGTTATGGAGCAGCACACACACACACACACATGCACACGCACACGCACACCTGCACTCGCCCTGCACAGGTAAAGGTATATGTATATAGATAGACGGCAACTACCTGCTGCTGATAAGAAGAGCTCTCGCTGCTCGAAATCTATTGAGACAAATTGTAATGCATATGTATATACATGTGACACAAAACTGTTCAAACTTTTCGTTAACGACATTTTCCATTTCATTTACCAATCAAGAGCATCAATGCCCAGTGGAAAATGCGACCAAAAGGTCTGAACATCTTAATGAAATTGCCTGCAGCGTCTTTCAGGACAGCTCATGCAGGACACTTTCGAGGACACGTCATGCTTGTTGTCTTGCCAGATGTCTTGCAGGACACTCTGAAGGACATGTCTGCTACGGATATGTATGTGTTGAGTGCAGAACTATTTTTGGATGTTTTTCTACTTTTTAAAATAAAACATTGCTAACATTGATAAAAATAATGATTATATATTAGCCTGATTATAAATTTAGCCTGAGTACCTACTACAGCTACAACACAAGTCAAGATCGTTGACATGTCATCGAGTCTGTATGCAAGACACCTTCGATGACATGTCATCGAGCACGCCATGTGCGCTGCTGACATGGCACAAACACTGCCGATTGCGTTTCCATCTGGGTGCTTTTAATTTAATAGCCAATACAAGGGCCACACACACACACACACACACACACACACACATCGCCCGCACACCTGTATGCCCTGTCGTAGTGTTATCTACAAAAATATTACCCACTTTTGCCCCACATTTATGCGTTCAATATTTCATATTTATTTGCTTTCTGTTTGAGCTTCACGCACACGAAGACACGGGGCAGCGGCTCCTCCTTCCACCTGCTCAGGTGTGTGTGCGTGTGTGTGTCTGCTCGAGCTCTTGCAATTCATATCAGTCAGGGAGCTCGTTTCTACCGATCGACAACTTCGTGGGCCGCCAACCAGCGCTGACGTTTTCAATTCCATCGACAAATCCAACGTTTCAGTTACGTTTCGATACGCGACAAGTGCATAGTGCCACGCGCTCCCAGGTGCGATCGCAACGAGAAGAAGAAGAAGAAGCAGAAGATTCGATCCGCCAATCAATATATACGTTATATATATTGGCCATGTGTCTCTGAGTGCGCGATCCATTTAAAGTTCGGGCAGCAAATTACTTGGGCCAAGGGAATGCAAACTGTCAACGCATTGCAACAAGTTTGTTCGTTTGGCTTAAGTTATTTTCATGCCTAACATAACGCCACGTGGAGCGATGGAGCGCCAGGCGAAGTACTTTTCCAACTGACGACCGTACCCATTTGCCAGCTAAGTCTGTGCTTTTGTCAACGTCATCTAGAAAACGTTTCGAGGATCGGCTGGGCAAAAGTAAATCTTTGCACCTGGCCAGTCTCAGAGAAAGACAGTGCCAGATAAGAGACCCTACCCAACCCAACCCGACCTACCTACCTCCAACCCGTTTACCCTTCCAATCAATCATATAAATTGCAGAAACTCTGGTTCTTTCATTCCCGGCAGTGAGCGGAACGATTGATAATGACACCGATACGCGACATGCAGGCCACTCACTCCCAATCTTAAACTTAAACTGATTGTGCTACCGTATATAGCCAGAGAGAGAGAGAGAGAGAGGACGAGATCGAGAGAGAAAGAGGGCGAGAGTGAGAGAGGGCGAAAGATTGAAGCTGTCGAGAATCCAAAGGCTACGTATACCTCTTACCAATACACATACCAAGACTCATACCAAGACCCATACCAAGACCCATTCCAATACCCATACCCATACCCATACCCATACCAAGACCCTAACCCATGCCCACATCAAGACCCATATCTATAGACATATATTGACGATCGGGTTTTGCTACTGTTTTAGTGGGGCTTTTTTATGGACAGCCATAGCATAGGGCCATAAATCTATTATCAATATTGGTTTGTACGATTTACACCCCCTGCCCCTGGCACGCCACGAGTGTAAAATCTGAGATTTTCTTATTTTTTTGTATACGTGTCGTTGACAGCTTTAAACTGATTTGACATGCCTGAGGTTGGGACTGTAAGCAGTTGCCGCTTATTTGGTTAGTAGGGTCGATAACGACGTTGGGGGTCCAGGTCTCATGCTAAAGCATGTTCGACCGGCGACGTGGCTTCTCGTGCCGCTATATACACAGATATATATATATATATATATATATATATAGATATTGTGGAGTGGGTACGACTCGAGACTGTAACTGAAATGGAAACTGATAATTGTGCAACGTACACAGAACCTTGGTCGTGTTATCAGCACGAGTGACAACCGGAAATTAAAGTTGAAATCGACACGATTACTTCATTAGCTGTATTTCTTCATAAATACAAAGTGCTGCCTGCTTTTTGGAGGTTAGGTTCATGTGAAAGGTCGACAAGGTCGCAAGGGTTCAATGAACCCTCCTTAACTGATAATTATTTAATGACTTCTATTGATTATTGATGGCCATAACCTAAACATAATTAAACAATTTGGTTGGGATTGATGGGTAGCTGGTGGGGAATGGCACCTCCACAGCGGTAGTGCTCCGTGAGGTGGCGCTCCAGAGGAGTTTTGCCAATTCAGATATTTTCTAGAAAGAGTGATAACCGAAAATTAAAGATGAGTTCGGAATGACTTCTTCATTAGCTACTTATATTGCTCTCAATATACAAAGTGATGCCTGAGTTCTTAAGGTTGGGCTCACGATAAAGGTCGACAAGGTCGCAAGGATTCAATGAACTGAACTGCCCCCACCAACTGATAGTTAATTTATAACATCCATTTGTTTATGCAGAGCCTAAACATAGTCATAATTTAACAAATTGCTTGGAGTTTATGCGTAGCTGGAATGGCACCTCCGGTAGTGCCCCGAAGGCTAAGGCCCTAAAGCCGTTGTTGTTGAAACGCAATTATAAGCTGTAAAAATAAAACTTGATCAGGTGCAAACGACAGACGAGGACATGAAAAGCACAACGCCAAATATATATTTGAATACCCCAGACCCAAATCGCTTAACTACTCGATGTCATTGGCGTCAGGTGGGTGCAGTAGGAAGGGTGCCAAGAAACGTCAAAAGAAATGAATTCCCTGTCCAAAGAGCCTAAGAAGCCTGATGACGAGTGGGCCCCAGGTTGTTGGTGGGCGGTGTTCGCTGCTGGTAAATGCAAAAACTTTAGACAGGGAATCAATTGTTACCTTGTTTTATTTCGCTCCTTTTGTCGAAAAGACACGCAACAACAATGGCCAATAGGCCGGCAGCCAACTACCCAAGCTACCCAATTGGTGGGGGTGGAGGCCGACAACCGTGAAAAGAACTTCAGGATGACAGTTATGGGTTACAAAGGCAAGGATTGAATCAAATAAATAAAGGCACAAGGTTTCAGTGCAGTCAAGGTGGGCGGTCGTTGGGGGCTGGGTCCTTCGATGACGGGTTAACCTTACCATGTCCATGTCCATGTCAAGTTGGCATGCGGCTGCAGGTAATTCTTCATTTCATGCCGCTTTACATAATCATAATAAATGTAGAAAGCCAATGAATGGCAAATCTATTAGCATAACATCGCATAAAATACGGCGTACAATGTCTGCTGTGCCAGGCCAACAAATCAGTTGCATTGGAGCCGTCGAATCGCGATGAACGTCTGGAAGGCAAAAGTGTTGACCGAGGTGCCATTTGGTCATGTGCTCGTCGTCGGTGGCAAAGTCAAGCCGCATCCCAATAAGTAGGCAACAATAATAATTTGCTCCAACCCAAATCCCAATCGAATTCCGAATTATTTGCAGAATTTCGCTGGACCTGACGGACAATGTGAATGCGCAAAATGAAAGCGAAACGGTTTTCCTCAAAATTGAGGCGAATTTCCGTGAGGGTCAAATCATACGCAGCATGTTCCAGCCGGGCGAGGGCTGGCAGCAGGAGGAAATCTCCAAGAATTGGAAATGCGATGGACCAAAGAATCCTTTAGTGCCGGGCCAATGTTTCACCTTTCGCGTGGCCGTGCTGCAGCGCTGCTTCGAGATCTACGTGAACGATCAGCTCTATGGGTCGTTTGAGTTCCTCAAGTTTCCCAAGCAAATCAACTATGTGCGCGCCTACGGGGACTTTGAGAAGATCACACAATTCCATCATCGGATGCTCTTTCCGCTGGTCTTTCCGCGCAGTCTCATGTGCGTGGATCGCGTCGCCTTCCAGAGCGACGTGCCGCGGCGCTATGAGACGGGCACCGTCGTGGCCATGGAATGCATTGCCAAGGGTCCGCCCACAACGGAGTTTTCCATTTGCTTCCAGTGCAACGACACGGGTCGCATGGTGCTCAAGTTCAACGTCAACTTCGACAAGACGACCGTCACGCGTTGCTATCAGCGCGAGGACAACAGGTGGGTCACACAACCGAATGACCCTTAACCGAAGGACCCTCAACCGAATGACCCATAACCGAGCAAATCCACTCACACTTTCTTCCCTTTCTTTTTGTGCAGCTATGCCAGCGATGATGAGGAAACCGAGGGCGAGTTTCCGTTTGTGCGCGGCAAGCTCTTCAAAATCGCCTTCGGCATTGGCGATCGCTCCTTTCTCATTGCGGTCAATGGACAATATTTTACCTATTACAATTTCCCGATGCGTCCGTTCTCCATATCCACGCTCAAGTGTTTCACCAACGATTTGGGTGACTTTTCTGTGCGAAGCTTGGAGTATCACTCGGATTCACCGCTGCTCTCACGTGTCGAGAAATTATCTATTATCTAATAGGAGGTTTGTTTTTTCGACTTTTTCGGAGCTATATCTAGTAGCAATCGCTAGTTGCAATCGTTGAATTTTTTCCTGTACACCAGTTAACTAACTACCTGTAGTCTATCAAGTTAATTAAATAAATTTAACTCTCTTAGATGACATCATAATTTCCATATAGAAACTGGACTCAGGCTTACAGCTTGAAATTAAATATTACAACGTCCTAAAACAATCTCATTTTTATGGAACCTGCGGGATAGTCTCATTTCTAATTAATTCTAGCTTTCTTAAGCTAAAAGCTAGCTAAAATGACAATATTGAACTTATCTTATAATTCATCCATTTAAAAAAAGCTAGCTATAGCTAAAAGTCAGCTAAATGGGCAGCACTGAAACTAAGCTTTAACAAAAAAACAGTGACAATCGATAATTATCGATAAAATGTACACTTATAGATAAATTTGTTTATGTAGGTTCCTTTAGTTATTGCAAGGACCAGGCTTTATTAAAACAATTGATTGCTTTCGCCGCCAGTCCACACTCTTTAAAAACAATATATATACCCTTGGGTATGCACTACTTACTTCCCGCTCTACTGTGATGCTGAGTGTGTGTGTATGTTTGTGTGTGTGTGTGTGTGTGGGTGTGTGTTTGGCTAAACTTCGATGAAGTACAACTTATAGTTAGTCTTATGGTTAGTTTCGAGTTCTCCATTTTAGAAAAAAAAACACACATATACAAATCGAAACCGAAATATAAGCTACGATTTTATGTAGGGCTCATTCCTTCGATTCCTTTTCGCATCAACTCTGTGGGTCATGTGTCAAGGTCAACTATTCGTCAATATATTGGGTTTCGTAAGCTCCTTTAAAAGTAACGGAACTCGCCCTTCTTGCCCAGATGCTTGCTACGCATCATATCCGTGGCATCCGGGGAGCGTTGATCCATGCTCGTATTGTCCTGAAGAAATTCGGACTTAGTTTATTATGTTGCATATAATTGGGTTTCCATTTCCGACTTACCACATTGCCGGCCGTCATATGACGTGACTTATTCGCGCTTGTCTGCTGCTGGCCATAGAACTGACCGTTGCCCTCGCCGTCGCCATAATTGAAGGGTGTGACAATCGTGTGGGGCACATGGGCCACCTGGCCGCGCATATTGCGCGCCTTCCACCATTTGCGTGTGTCATCTAGTATCTATTTTGGGGAGAGAGCAAACCATGAGAGATGCATATAAAGTGGCTCTAGTCAAAAGTAACCGACTAGGAGCTACCAAGGTTGGAAAACCTTTCTAAGTTTATCCCGATTCAAACCGATTACATTTGTTGCTATGAACTGAACCTTGAAAGGAATTCTAAGCCAGAGCCGAGTCATCGATATTGATCGATTTTGTGGCAACAGAGAAGTTATCGAATAATTGAAATAAGCTCGACCTGCGTACGATAAAGGGGAATTTCCATCCCTGTACCAAGGTTGGAAAACCTTTCTAAGTTTATCCCGATTCAAACCGATTACATTTGTTGCTATGAACTGAACCTTGAAAGGAATTCTAAGCCAGAGCCGAGTCATCGATATTGATCGATTTTGTGGCAACAGAGAAGTTATCGAATAATTGAAATAAGCTCGACCTGCGTACGATAAAGGGGAATTTCCATCCCAAGTCTTACCTCCGATGTTGGTTGGATATGGAATGATATGGATATCTTTATACGGACAGGCAGACAAGACATGGCTAGGATCTACTCGTCTGGGGATGCTGTTGCCTACATCTACCTTGAACTCCCTTTAATGGGAAGCTTGGGAACCTACCTCCAAGTATTCACCGCGCATGACGCTCAGCTCCTTGTCATTGTTGGCGGTACGCGGGTAGGTGACCAGAACAATTTTCGCGCCTGTTGACTGCAGATCCTCCAGCCACGCTTCCAGCAGCTGATCCTCGCTAGCATTGGCATTGCCCACACCACGCGCTGTGACAGCGGATATCTCAGAGACGCCGCCGCCGCCGCTCGGTCCATAATTGCCGGCGCCGCTGCTCACGTTGCGGGACTCGCGTGTGTGTAGATTCTGGAGACCCGCTGTAATTGCGCTGAGGGTGGGTCCAGCACCGGGTCCATGACCATGAGCGGCACCGCCAGCCACACCACTGGACGGGACGCCGCCGCCGCTGCCGCGCTCTATGGAATCGAAGGAGAGCTCGCTGCGTGCATTAAAATCGGAGGCACTTATGGCACCGGTTCGATCACGCTCCCGATCCCGATCCCGATCATTGCCATGGTGTATGGTGTACTTCTCGCTGAGGGAGATGCCGATGCCATTCGTGTCGTAGTCATCATAGCCGCCGGCAGCGCCACGTCCATTCAGACCCATGCCGGCAGCGGCCAAATGACCGGGCCCCGCCTGGACGTCAAGGCGACGCTTGCTGATGTGCGTCGGCGATGTGGCCTCCAGTTCGTCAATGACTAAATAATCGGGTGACCAGCCATCGAGAAATACCGGATGATAGGAGCCGACATCCTCCTTCCACTGGTCACGCGGTATGACCCAGGCATCGCCCAGGGAACGCCACAGCTCCGTCTCCTTGCTGGTGACACAGTTGATCAACAAATTGATGGCCTCGCGCGTCAGCAGGGGATTGATCACGCGCGAGGGCAGCTGCGACTCGTAGTAGGTGTCACTGGATGCCTCCACAATCAGGGCGAGCGGCGTGAACAGAAAGTGCACCAGCTCCGGCGCATTGGGATCGTGTATATGCGCCTTCAACTTGGCCAGCAAATTGAATGAAAGCTTAAACTTGGCGAATATGTCCACGAACTCCTTCTCGTGGGGCGGCCGGGTGCGCAGCGTGAGCAAACCCTCGCCGGGATCACGTTTCTTGGACTTGCGATTGCGACGACGTCGCTCCAATTCCCTGGACGCAGCCGCCGCGTGCTGCAGCCGTGCAATGAACTTCTCGATGTCATCGAAACAATGATTCAGCACGGCCACGTCCCGTTCGTATTTCTCGCTGGACGTGGAGCTCGTCTCGTCGCGATCATTGACGCCCCCATGCTCCGAGTCCGTCTCGAGTCCATTGTGGCCAATGTCCACATCGGTGACGGCGCCAGCCGCGGATCCGCCTCGCATCCCATACTGATCCACGCTGCTCCGCTGATGATGCATTTGATGTTGGTGTTGCAGTTCGCGTTCCCGTTCCCGTTCCCTTTCCCGCTCTCGGCCGCGCTCTCGATCGCGCTGTTCGCGCTGATGATGCTGTTGCTCGGCGCGACTGTGCGACGAGGAGGAGGATGTTTTGCTCATCATCATCGCCAGGCCGGAACTGGATGCGCCGCTTGTATGCTGCGTGGGCGTGGTACCGCGCTGCTGTGTTATCATTTTGCCGCTGCGCAGCTGCTTCAGATCCTCCACCAGATGCACGGCGGAAACGCTTTGTGACTGCAGAAGGAGAAAAGCACATGGTCAGTGGATGAACAAAAGCTGGCGAAGATTACTCACCTGAAATATGTGCATTTCGGAGCGCGAACCACCGCCGCCCGACACAATGAACACAAGTATATTGTTATACAGCTCCATGGCGTCGTTGGATGTGAATGCGGTGGGTTCTTGCACCAGCGACGCGGGAAAGCGTTCAATAATGTTCTGGAAAAGATGACTTTCATTAAGAACCCGGAATTATGTTTTAGTTGCGCCGACTTACCCCCGTTTCGTAATCCATAATGAGCACCCATTGATAGTCCAGGCACAGCTGCATCTTCTGCGACCAGATGCCCGTGGTCTTCTCCAGCTGCAACAGCCGTCGCATGCCGTCCGCGGGATACACAATGCCCGACTCCTTGTTCACGGTGAATGTGGCCAGATGCTCCAGCAGATATGTGGGCTTGTCATGCAGATCGCCATCCAGGCGCTCCCGCTCCCGCTCCTCGCCGCCGCTGCGATCATCCCCGGAATAGTCGCCGCCGCCGCCGCCACCACCATGGGCGCCACCGCTGCTATTTCCGGCACTGCCGCCACCATTCGAATGATGATTGACCATCTTGCCAGCGGTAATTGTGACTGTTTGCCCGGACTCACAGCTGAAAGTGAAAACGTTGGAATTCACTAAGCATCCTACATTTGCGGCCAGCACACTTTTTGGCCTTAGCTATTGCGCAGTCGATGTGGCTCTGACTCAGGCCACATTCCACGCTGAGCTCAAGGCACAAACGCAACAGCTATAAAATGTTAATGTCGGGGGTAAGCGACTGCGCAATACCCTGTTTGCTGTGTTATGACAGCCCGTAAAACAAGTCAAAAAGTCTGCTTCAATTCTTTGGTTGTCTTTCATCCTTATGATCGTGATTGTCAAACTGTGACTAGCAAATATTGCTTATATTCTATTAATATAATATTGTTGTAGCTCTCTAAATGTCGTTTTATATTTATTATATATATATTTATATATTCTTCACATTTCACACAAGCCGATATACTCATTTTTCACATTGGCGAACAGCGCATAATTATTCTCAAACTTTAACATTTTGTTCGCAGTCGCGCAGCTTTGGAATTTAAAAATCGCGCGCCCGCCACCGCCCAGGCCCCCAGCCCGCAGCTCGCAGCACAGGCCAGCTGTCAGTTGTCAGTTGTATAGAATCTACCTGTTTGTCTATGTGGCCTCTGGCAACCTTAGCGCTCTTTTTCTCTCTCTCTCTCTCAACAGTTTGGCAAGCCGCGAAGAGCGCGCAACTGTGCAAGAGAGAGCGGGCGTGCGCGCACACACACACACACACAGACGAACAGTGAGCAGAAACAGCCGCTCCCTCGACTTAAGTGACAGCAACTACTTAGGCGTGTGCCGACGGCGACGGCGACGGCGACTGCGCCGGATGCCCAGTAAAACAAGCGATCGCATATTTATACACACACATACATACATATATGCACATGTGTGTGCGTGTGGGAATTTATAATTTGAATGTTAGAGCCAAAGTATGTACCCGACTGTTATACTTGGCTTATTTATATTCTCGCATGCCAAATTGCATCATCGGCAAGGTATTTTTTGTTTTGACAGATTTACAGCACAAGTTATGCTTTAAGCAAACAGAGACAACACTGACGAATGAAGGTTATAAAAAATTATCAC